AGCTTGTCAGGCCTCTAAAAAATATTACTGAAAGTGACAAAATAGTGGCAGATGATGCATGGGAAAAATGGGGTAGGTATCTGGTATATTAATAAAACCACATAAATACTATTAGGCCATTTGTAATATTTATGAGTTTATGGCGAATACTATTGTTTTGACTGACAGTGCACTTTAATTAACTTTCAGCCTGAATCAACATTTCAATTGATTACAATGTACTCCGATTTCTGTACACATACACTCTAAACATGGATTGGAGAGTTCAGAAATTATTTTCCCCACTCGGTACATACGTCCATATATATTGCAACCAGATATCTTCAACATGGAAGCCAATAAATTGAAATCAGTATCAACCTTAGTTTTCAGTGGTGTTGTCCTAATATTTGGTTTTACATCAGCGTGCTGATTGAATTCAGATTGTAAACCGACATCAGCGTGTTGCTTAAAGTCGGGATGATGTTTAACTTCTGTCTGCTGTTTGAAATCAAAATACGGATTGASTTCGACATGCTCTTTAACATCAAAGTGTTTATTAATTTCACTTTGGTGCTTGATATCGGTATAAATTTTGGAATCAGATTGAAGCTTTGAATCTGGATGTATTTTGAACTCGGGTTGATCTCTCACACTGAATTGTGACTTTACTTCAGTTTGATGGTTACTTAAGTCATGGTATGATGGTTTTACTGCATCATAAAGTTTCAAATCAAATGGCGATGCAACTTGAGCATTTTCTTTAACATCGAAATGTGTCTTAACCTCAGCCTGTTGCTTAGTACCAGATGGGATGGCATCCGTTTTGATTTCTTGATGTGATTGGACGTCAACGTGCTGCTTGATTTCTTGATGTGATTTAATGTCAACGTGTTGATTTGTTCCTGAATGTGGGGGCTTGGTGTCGACGTGATGTTTAGTTTCGGAATTCAGTTTATCGTTAACGTATTGTTTAAGCTCAGTATTTGGTTTGGATTCTAAAGGTTTGTTTGTTTCCTGTGGTTTGACTTTGTTATGTTTGTCTTTTGAATTCTGATTTATACCAAAGTATGGGTTGGTATCCTGGTGGTATTTAGAATCCACATGCTGYTCAGTATCTCCTGGGTTCAAATTAGGATTATGCTGTTGTTTGGGGAGTGACGTGAAATCGGCTTGTCCGTGTTTGACGTCGTCCAAATGAACTTTTTCGTCAATTTCGTCATCTGTTCGATGCTCAATGCGAATTTCTGATTCCATTTTATTTGTTGACGAAGGCTGTGGAGACGGGGATGATGATTGTTCTGGCGTATCGCCGTTGAACAAAAATGAAAACATACTTTCAAAACTATAATCTTCATCTTCTGGTGGTTTAGGTGCAGATGTTGTGACTTCTGGTCGCTTAATAGTTGCTGAAGTTGAAGAAATTACCAATTTTTCAGTGGTTGAAGCCAAAGTGGTGAGCAACTTTACAGTGGACGTGATCGGTTTTAACGAAGTCGTTTCAGAAGAAACGTTCATTGGCTTCAGAGTGTTAGGTGATGAAATCGCTGGTTTATCAGTTGATGGTGCAGAATATAAAATATGTTCTATAACWGTATCTCTTATATTCRTTGTGGTTGTGGATGGGGTTGTTACTGTTTCAGATGTTACTTCAATTTGCTTCACGTGTTCTATAGTAATATCATTTTCATATTCATCTGTAACGGACAAAAATTGGATTGATTAAGCGTTTTCGTTTTGAAGATTAARAATAATCTAGTAAATAAATATACTTCAAATCCATATCTTAAAGTTTATAATATACATCCAGTAAACATGAAATTGCTTAAATAAAATTAGAATTACCTTGCATTAAATATTAACCTTCAAACATAAATGTTTGAATAAAAATTAAAATAGTAGGTGCATAATGCATTATAAAAAATAATAAAAACTTACTGCAAATGATACGGCCACAGCAAGTGCTATTTTTCGGGTCGATGATTCTCTGGCAGCCTACTTTGACGGCTGGACAATTTTCTTGACAAACAATTTTGGCGTTGAAGCAAATGCATATATCGCAAGCGCTTGGGTCGGTTAACAATTCACCGTGTTTGTACTTCTTACCATTGGATATGCACCAAACTGAATATTATTAAAAACAAAATAAAAACAATTGAAATTCAATAYTAATATAGTCATTAGCATATCACTTTTAGTATTGTCTTTCAAATTTTCACAAAATTAATAAGAATTGTCTTAAAAAAACGTTATCACATGATTCTAAAACTATAATACAATGTATTATAAGATGTCTAATATCTATTCAGTTGTTTGAATTATTTTTCTGTACATAATTTATTTACATTCCGAGCCAATTAATTACATTTTTATAGTGATAATGAGAGTCTTATTTATACTATTTCAACGTTTTTTTTTACGCATAATAAMATTTTTTTACATTAAACATCATGGTTTAAAAGTTTTTAATAGTTTTTGTATCTTCTCAAAATTTAACACTAATTTGGATTTAAAAAAATTTTGATTTTGAGGAGCATATTATTTTCCATTAACTAGTTTGAAAATGCGTTAAAAAATCTACAGCAATTTGTGAAAGTAAGAAGAATTAATAAAATATGAAACGCGCTGATCTAAAAATAATAATACATTTTGGATGTTTCTGGGTAAAGTATAAACTGATTACGTAGTTTTAAAGTTTTCTGAAAGTATTTTAATTGATAGAAAACGAATTCATTGAGTAAGAGTTAATTATATATTTTAACGTTTCCAGTTAATTTAGAAATACGATCATGTACAAATTTAAAAATTAATTTTAAATTCAACAATATCATTTATGAATATACATCTTAATAAATTACCAGATCCCATTGGTTGGTTCTCCATAACAGGTTCGTTGTGATGRACAGTAGGTTGTTCCGTTGTCTTTCGAAATTTGTCAGGTAAATAAAGCGCACCATTTGGAGAATCTTTTGGAATGAACCCACCTAAATATTATACACATTTATAAACATCAAATTCTTATATTATTATTTATAAATTATAAACCTAATACTAAGATTCAATTATTACATAGACTAGGTAGTAGGTACGCCATGGTCATTGGAATAAATATTCGATGACACTATAATATTACCTATATGGCTATATACCTATRATGAATTGTATTAATATTACCTTCAGTTTCAATAGGTGGAGAAAAACTATTGACGACGGGTAAAGGAGGTTCTTCGACGTCTGTTACATTGTACACTCGTTCTATCTCCGGTTGATAATTTTCATAAGCTGCAGGCGGTTCATCAACAACTGCATCTGCTGCAACGAACGGAATGATTCTGCATGYCGGGAATAAAATGTATATCAAATATTTTATAAATGCAAACAAAAGATTACTTTTATTATTTAAAAAAGTAAAAGGTAATTCAAAATTTCAAACTGATATTGTTATGTTTAATAGTATTTTACATGTAATAGGTAGGTACATATGAACTTAAACACAACATTAAACAATGTTTTCGGTTTTCTAATATTATAGCTAAGTCATTTAAATCCCCAAAAATTTGGTGTTGGAACATAACTAAAATTATTAATGTAATGATAAAACAAATAACTAGAATAATATTTTTGAAAAAAAAAAACCGAAATGATTATCTATTTAATTTAATTTGAGAAAAATGAAATACTATTATATTATTAGTAATAACTTGGTTAAAGAACTTACAATTTTCAATGTAAAGCTCTATTTTAAAATCTTCGTAAATTMAGTTTAGTTAATTTATAAAAAAAAAAATWATAATAATAATTACTTGAGGTTTGGTAAAGATGGCGGCAACGTTGGGTCATCATAATCCATTTCAAAGTTATTAGATTTTTCAGTTACTTTCAATCCACCAAAGTCATCGTGAATCAAACTAGCAGGATTAGCATTTCTCGATTCTATGGGTTCTTCTGTAATTTGATCGGTAACATTCTTTGWATTGACAGTGATATTGGATGCACTATCAGTCTCTACCATCATCTGTTAAACACACTGAAATGTAATTTATGTTGCATAACACGTACGCCTTGATGTGAATATTATAATTTATWTTACTGAATTTTGTTTGAGTAGTTATTGAGTGATGACAACTCTGAGCATAAATTCAAATTTCAACACATGTTTGTTTGCAAAAATATCATAGATAAATTAAATATCCTTTGCACAATGGATTATAAATGAATGGTTTAAGTGCACAGTGAATACCTATTCACCAAAAATCTCAAACCCATCAACAGGGAGAACGTACCTGCATGGTAGTTATCTATGCTGTTCGGCATATAATTTAATTTTAAAATACAGCAAAATGATATTTTTCAGAAAATGTATTGGTTTTTAAATCGAGAACTGTTAATATTTCGCTAAGGAAACGTGTCTTGAGAGTTGAGACTCAAATAACGGTCTGAAATAACGTTGTACCTGCTTCCCAATAAACACGTAAGTCGTATTACTAAGTATATTGTATTATAATATACGTGATGATGGTTTTAATGGATTACTGTGGTACTAGTTAATTAATGGTTAGCCATAATTTATTATCATAATTATTATAATTTACCTGGGCAGCCGTAGGCGTCGGCGTCGGCAGCGGCGAAGGCGATGGCGAACTACTAAGCAGGACATCATCATCGACAGTCACGGTGGACGGCTGCGTTGTCGCAACAACACCAGCAGAAGTCGTCGTCGTCGTCGTCGTCAGAATGACAGTCGGACTAACGTGAGATTCTAGAATGAAAAATGRATCAATAACGGTCGTTTAATATTATCATATCGTCGCGTCACGGAAGATGTGCAGCGCATGCAGGGAAAACGAAAAGCAAACGCGCGCGCGCGGGGGCCTTATACGATGATAATATTTTTATCATTCATTCATCATATCGGGATAACAGGTAGGTAGGTACGTACGAGTGTATAAAAATAAATTATAAACGTATACAGGATTAATATTTGTACATGTATTATGGTGTAATGGTGTATAGGTGCGTCGGACAAGTCAGTGACCCTGCGCGGGGAAACGCGTGGTGGCATCGAGACGTACCGTTGCTGCTAGTGCTGCTGCAGTTGTAGCTTGTCGGGCAGCAGTGCCCTTCCGAGTAGACCGGTCCGCAATTGGGCGATATTTGGGCGCGGATTGGCGGACATATCACCTTGTCACATCGCACCTGACCGTTGATGCAGAAACAAGTTTCGCACGACGACCGCGCCACGCCAATCACGGGCTCTCCCAGCGATATCAGCCGACCGTTTATGCGACAATCTGTGTTTACGTAATATGCAAAACACCAACAAATAACCAAAATTGTCTTTAATTTTAATTTATGCAAAAGTAAACACTAACTATACTGGCTATAGGCTGTATTCCGAATTTGTCTTATC